CATGTTAGGGTTAGGGTTAAACCCTAAAACATTTTTGAATGTGTCAGTGGGTGAGATGTTAGGGTTAGGGTTAAACCTGACTGGTTTTCGGTTTTCGGACCCCCCCAATAAAGCAAAACTGCACGTTTCAGAGTGGCCTTTTATTGTGGCCAGCCTAAGGCACACCTGTGCAATAATCATGCTGTCTAATCAGCATCTTGATATGCCACACCTGTGAGGTGGGATGGATTATCTCGGCAAAGGAGAAGTGCTCACTATCAGACTTTTTCAGATTTGTGAACAATATTTGAGAGAAATGGTTATTTTGTGAATATAGAAAATGTTTTAGATCTTTGAGTTCATCTCATGAAAAACGGGAGCAAAAACAAAAGTGTTGCGTTTATATTTTTGTTCAGTGTACGTTTCATCAGGTAACGTCATGTAAAATGTAGAATGCATAATCGTTTTGTAACACCCACCCTTCACCTATAAAGCTTCAGATAATTTTGATTTACATGATATGAAAATGGTTATATATATAAAGCACTTAAATATTTGATAAGGAACAAAAATAAGGGAACATTCAAGGGGCAACGTGCCGCTCCAGTGATAAGCAGTGATTTCCAACATGGGGGGTCGGGTCCCCAACAGGTCGCATTATGATGACGTTGGAGGGGCTGTGAGATCATTATTAAAAAAGTAAACACACAAGTCATCTGTTGCACACACATTATGTTTTTTATGGACTAATCTTTGCTCTTTTTCTTGTGAATTACTGGATAATATTACTTCTTTGGACCCTTAATATCAAAATAAAGAAAAGAAAATCACTCTTTGGTTGAAATGGTCAAGTGTGAGACATTTACATCACGTTTGTTATTATACATGCCTTATTTTAAAGGGTTACAAGCCGACAATATTTGGAACCAGTGATCAGAAGGATGTTATGTCAAGGTATTTGGTTTTATGGACAGAATCATTATGGATGCTGGAGGTAGCTAGGCTGAGGGTCCTTAACAGCATCTCAGGCATAGCTTTATCACACTTCAGTAAAACAATCAGAAGTCTAGTTTCAGTCCTGAAGACACGGAGGCTCCAGCTTGTGCCAGGTAGTTTGGGAACGCCGGGTCGGACCCTGATGTTTTTCCCGTTTCCTGTTCAGTAGGCATCAGCCCGGCGCCGTGAACCTGCTGCCACAGCTGAGTGTTGTGAGCGACTCCCTGCCGCTTCAAGTATCCCTGCTGACAAAACAGCGGCGGCTTGCGGTGGGTTAGGGAGGAGCGGAAACAGGATTCTGGAAGACACAGAAATTATTATTTAAATAAAAAAGGTTTTAAAAAAATTCATAATTTATAAAAGACACACAAATTAATAAAAAAACACTTTTTCTTAAAGAAACAGAAATAATTTAAAAATTATATTTCTAAAGACACAGAAATTGTAAAAAATATATATAATAATTCAAAAACGAAAGGAATTATAAAAAAAAAAAGAATTCTAAAATCATTTTTCTAATGAATTTTTTCTAAAAACACTGACATTATTTTAAATATATATATTTCTAGAAGCCACAGAAATTATAAGAATATATATATATATTTCCAAAAACAGCTAAGTTATTTAAAAATATATCTTGTTTTTTAAAAAGCCAAGTAATTATTTAAATAAATATAAATTATTTCTTAAAAACGCACAGAAATGTAAATAAATGTATACAATTAAAAATAAAAATAAAAGGTCTGCTATATAATCAATAATGTTAACCCTTACATTAGCGATTAACATTTTAATTATTAATACACAAATAAATACATGAAAAATTAATTAATTCATAAATTAAAAAAATACTATTTGTATCACAAACAAACAGTTTTACCAGCATAGAAGGCCCTGAGGTCAGTCTGGACACAATGCTCCAGGAAGCGCCGCAGAGGCTGGATATGAGAAATTGGAGTGTCCCATTCTGCGAGGAAGTCCTCCACCATGTGATGCATCGCTTTGGGCCTCGGTAACGGCCAGCCAGTGGGACGCAGCCTCATGTCTTCCTCTGGGGAACAAGAGGAGAACATTAACATACATTCAGAGTTTGTTTTTATTCCTTCCTGAGACAGCATCTCCACTCACCAGTAGGAAGTGTGTCGTAGTAGTATAAAACAGGGTGCAGGAAGTTGGATTTCCAGGCTTTGGTCCAGTCTGTTTCAGCCCTGCTCCGCCCCAGAAAGTCGATCTTGTTGTTCCCGTACTGCATCACCAGGACTATCAGCCCATGTTCGGAGACCTCGTGGCCCGAGACAGAGGAGAACTGGGGCAGAGCCTGGAGAGTAAACTCTTCCACGTATTCACAGTGAGAGCTGAGAGTCAAGGCAGAAGAAAGCATCATTATATAATGAGTATGAAGAAGGGATTAAAAGAGTGGCACAGTCATGATTTCCAGAAGTAAAAAGCTAATGTTAGATATCAAAATAACACCGTTGGCTCACCCTCGAAGAAGTATAACGTCCCCCAGCACCTGAAACATTTGGTAGGGCCCGGAGGCTTCGCTGAGCCGCTTCAGGATCCAGGACTGCAGCTGCGTCGTCAACAGTTTTGTCGATGGCCACAGGTTACTATGGTAACGCTGTTCAAGTACGCGATGTACGGCTCGCACTGTGGCAGAACATTTAAAAAGGGTTTAAGAAAAATCATCTTAAAAACAAAAAATACGAATCATAAAAGGTGAAAAGACCACACGAGCCACTTGTTAAGAAAAAAAACACAATACACAATAAAAACATAGAATACATTTGAATAAAAGCACACAAGTTACCCAAACAGGAATGTCTTTAGATGACATTTAAAAGAGTCTACAGAGTCAGGTGTGCCGGCAGAGCGTTCCATAGTCTAGGAGCCACGGCCTCAAATGTACCTGTGTAACGGAAACCATGGACGAAGCCGCCCGCAGATGAGCGGTAGTCTCTGGAGTGAGCAGCTGTTCCCAGAACAAACAGGCCGGGGGTGTTCATCCCTTCATACCATGGCGTCACACCGGGCAACCTGCCTTTAGCATTGTCACTGATGGGAGGGCAGGCAGAGCTGTGGAGATAAAACATTATATAAGTAATATACAAATGTACAGAGTCACCAGAGAGAGGCTTTGTTGACAGGGCGGAACATTATGCTACTGGATGAATCAATATTTACATTATGGAGTGGTGGAGGGATGACGCTATTTTGTAGATTGACCAAGAAGTTAACATCACAAAGGTTTCCTCGATAAAAAGCCAATGGGATTCTTCCATTGGATTTTGGAATATTGCCAAAAACAAGACAAACTGTTATGATACTACTTTTATAATTGTTGAAACATAAATGCATTGCCAGATGTAAAAAGTTAACGTTGGGATAAAGGAACTGCAGCACGGTCACATGACTTCACGTCACCACCGCTAAGCTAAAGGTGGCTAATGTTGGGCTATAAAGGAACTACAGCACGGTCACATGACTTCACGTCACCACCGCTAAGCTAAAGGTGGCTAATGTTGGGCTATAAAGGAACTACAGCACGGTCACATGACTTCACGTCACCACCGCTAAGCTAAAGGTGGCTAATGTTGGACGTGATGACGTTTAGTCTTCTCATTTAGACACTTAAACACAACCAAAAAACATTGACTATGAGATAAGTTAACTAGAATTGTTGAAATGCTTACTTATTTCCAGGTTTAGGACTCATTTTTGCACCACTCTTTATAATAATCCTACCATTAATACCTGTCAAACACGCTGAAGTTGAACCTGAACCCGAGGCATCGAATCACTCGGTCGTAGGGCTTTCGCATGGAGAAGTTATCAATGTGATACCCTGGCATTTCCTCTCCTGACACGTCAGAGCTGTTCTTCTTCTCCTGGTGTTGAATGTGCTTTTTTAGAGTCAGGTATAACTTTGCTTTATTCTGAGTGCCCGCTCTCCTGCTGCTCTTCTCTTTTCGTTGAGTGATGCCGATTTTTTCCAGACGAGCCTCCGCCAACCCATCTAGAGACTTCAGCTGATATGTGTCTATAAGGTCATTATTCACAGCTCTGAAAAACAAAAACTAAAGTTCAATTTAGAATAAAAGTGCTTATAACGCTAATGAAGAACAGTTGGTGAAGTTGTAATTAAGGACACATGTTCCCAACTGGGTCCTTCTGCAGTTGCAATGGGGTAGCGTTAAAATGTGAGGAAATAAAAAACTGATTTAATGAGAAATGTATATCCAAATATTGAGTGAGGTCTTACTAAATAAGTAAATTAGCTAGTAAGTGAGCAGAGCTAAACAATTAGCTTAAAGTAATTAAACAATGTTTTGGGAATAACTGTCATTAAGGCTTTGATTAATTGTGAAATAGAAAAAAGTAACAGATAAATACTAGTTTAAAGGTCCCATGTCATGGCCATTTCTACTGATCATAATTCCATTGTTGAGGTCTACTAGAATAGATTTACATTGTTCAATGTTCCAAAATCACATTGGTTTCTCATACAGCATCTCTGTATAGTATGTGTATACTATACTACTGTCCTAAACGCTCGCCCTACCCTGTTCTGATGAGTCCACCACCGTTACAGTGGAAAATCAGTGATTAGGTGTTACAATGGCGTTAGCAACCAGAAAATGACACCAGCAATGACAAACAGATGAGAATGCTGCGAATTCTTAACGGGGGGGGGCTAGTTAACTGTCAACGGGGGGTTATGCTCTCTGCGGGGAAACGGTGGACACACACAAGGGCGGTGCCGGCCGTGAGCGAGCAGAGCCGGCCGTCAACGGCCCATGACAACCGGCCGTTCTGTGATTCTCCAGATTCTACAGATGGCCAGTCCGCCCCTGGGTCTGGGTGCCGTTTTGGCGGGACGTTGTGGGGCTCGCTGCTGGAGCCGACAGTGTGAGCTGGCTTACTGGTGTTGTTTCGTTGTTGCTGCGAGACAGCGAGACCCAGCGAAACCCAGCCCAACCCAGCCCGAACCCAGCCCGAGCACACATACACACCCGCGGCCTGGCTGTCAGTCTGTGTGTGTACTCAGGCAGAGTTTAGAAATTCATCATATGCCTTGTCAATATCGTTTGTCTCATATACTACTACTAGGAATCTTTTTTGGTGGCATTGCTTTTTGTTTAGGATTATTATATAACGGAGAGAAAGAGGAAATGAGTGTTCTCATTCATAACACTCCGTTCGATGTCTCACTATGGGATGCGCCTCAACGCGTATGCAAACAGAAGCATCAATCTCATTACGGCAATCCTGATTGGCAGGTGATCTTGACGTCAGCGTCAGGGAATCCACCCCCTATAAGTAGCTTNGAAATGAGTGTTCTCATTCATAACACTCCGTTCGATGTCTCACTATGGGATGCGCCTCAACGCGTATGCAAACAGAAGCATCAATCTCATTACGCCAATCTTGATTGGCTGGTGATCTTGATGTCTACGTCAGGTAATCCACCCACCATATAAGTAGCTTGCGCTACAACGCAGCGTCATTCAAAGACCTCTTCTCGCTTCGGAGCACATCTCAAAATATCAGTAGCCGGGCTAGCTTAACTGTCCACAGACTGAACCCAAGCTAACATTCGGTCGATGGGCGCTTGCCGGTTACTTTTTGCTTTGCAGAAGATTGAATTAAATATTAACATACCAGTTAATATTGAAATCTGCCCTGCCGTTTTTTCTTTCGGAATAACGGTAGGGTTTTGATTTTTTTCTTCAAACAGTAACATACGTACCTGTTACTAGTTTATCCCTCCGTGCCGACACCACGGCGAGGACGGATTCTTCTCTCCCTCACACCAGAGGAGACGGAGATAAAAGATATTAACACACCAGTTAATATTAAAAAATCTGCCCGCCGTTTTTCCTTTCGGAATAACGATTTAAGGTTTTGATTTTTTCTTTCAAACGGTAACATATCTGTTACTAGCGTGTCCCTCCGCGCCGACACCCCGGCAAACGAGGATGGCCCCTTCTCTCCCTCACACCAGGGGAGTCGGAGGCTCGGAGGCTCGGCTCGGAGGCTGCGGGTTTAAGATCTCGGGCACGGACTCACACCAGGTCTGCTCGTCCTGCCTTGGGCTGAAACACGCCCAGGAAGCTATCGATAACCCCGGTTTGTGCGGGCATTGTGCCCGCTTCACCGTCAAGAGCCTCCGCCGACGGCTAGCGCGCCAAGCTAGCCTGTCGGGACAGGACCCCTTCATGTCCGTTGATTTGCCGGCCGGCAATCGGGACATGGTGGCGACTGCCGCGGAGATTTAGCCCCACGCTGTGTTAGGCTGGGGTACAACAACGGCGGTAACCGCGGAATCGGAGCCCCGCGCCGTTTCAGGCTGGGACTCGGTGGCGGCAAGGGCCGCGAGAGCGGAGCCCCGCGCTGTGTCAAGCTGGGGCTCCCAACTGGACCTCACTGTGGTTCCACCCGCGGAGGATGTCCTGGAGCTGGACTATACGGAGGAAGATGAAGAGGATACCTCTGAGTTCCTCTTATCCGACTCGGGAAGACCTTGCCCAAGTAGCGAGGATGAAAGGAGGCAGCTCTTCCCAGTCTTTTCAGAGATGCTGGACGAGGTGTCGGTCTTGTGGATGAGACGGCCCTTCAGCAACCAGGCCCTAATCCAGGGTGCTCCTCCTTGGACTGTTGACGGCATGGAGAAACTCGGACTGCTCCCGCATGCCGCCCATGAGCCGCTGGGTGGCAGCCCACCTCAACCGCGGCTGGCTTCGGCACCGAGCAGGAAACCCACGCTACCGGCAAAGGCAGACCGCTTCCAGTCAGCAATGNGCTGGCGCATCATAAACACGTCAGATAGTGAAAGTGCATTCGGATTCTCTAAAGTAACGCAGTCTCTTCTCCTAAGTCCTTTTGAATTCTCCTATCCACTATCCCTTGACCCCGTGACGTTTCACTCAGAGGTCAAGGAATAGGAGATAGGGTTAGAATTTAGGAGCTGATTTTTGGATTATCGGAACGGAACTCGGGAGTCTCCCGCGCAAATCGGGAGGGTTGACAAGTATGGCTACAGGGCATATGAGTGGTGAAGTTCTGTCACGTGTGCTGTAGTGCCTTTGAACAGGGATGCCTTCACTTTCATTAACAATGTGTGTGTGTGTGGGTTGGTGGGAAACTTTGACTTCCTTGTGTCTTGAGTGGGTTTCTAATAAAGATGGCTTCTGAATTAGTTTACTATACCTAATCAGATTTTTTTTGTTTTTTTATTCTGAGAGATTTTGATCTGCAGGTTTGGCAGCTGTTCTGAAAAACACTGTCGAAAAATCATAACAAAATGAAAATTAAACATATCTCAGTTTAAATACCAACAATAAAAAATGAAATTAGCAATCATTTTGAAGAGTTTTAACTGCCAAAAACGACTTTCGTGAGTGCTATTAAAAGACTCATTCCTACTTTTGTCACAGCTTGTGAAAATAAATGAAATGGCTTTCATGTTCTTCTGAAAGACTTCCTCAACTTCCGTGTAGATTTACACTGGCACTAAAAACAAATGCTGGCAGGGACTGCTGTCAATATTCTGCAGAAGCTAAAATGTTGGCATAGAAAGAAAATCCTTGGACGTCCTCACAAAAAGTCTTAGTCACAAACTCCCTGTCTGAAAAAACTTCACCGTTTGAAGCTTGCTTAAAAACATTGCCTCTGAAGACATTCAAAGCTTGTTTACCCAAATACCTACAGCACACATATTCATATATCAGAATTTCGCAACAAAGACTGGTGACAGGAAGAGGAAAATACCTCTGTCACGAAAATAAAAGGTCAAAAAAAGAGAAAGCGGAAAGATAGAGACATAAAAATATACAGTTCACCAAGTCTGTCCGTTTTTTTACCTAGGGTATGATACAGTGGGTAGCTCGCAATCCCACACACAGAATCACTGTTTCCTGGCGATGTTATAAAAAGAAGGAGCAGGGGAATATATACAAATAGTTCTATATCTGGTGACTGAGGAAAAGGTTGACTATTTCTGTTTTTTTATAGTTATTCTCAAGCAGGATATGATCGGGAAAATAAAATATTTCTCTCTTTTAAATTATTAACAATGCAGTATTGTTAAAATAGAAAGCTGGTGGAAAAAAGTGTAGATATTTTTTGGATACTCAAGAAACTTTAGCCTTCTTCTTGGTGAAGTGATCGCCTTGTGGCAGGGAGGGAGGCGGGTATATACTGCAGGACTTGCTAACAAGCTAATGTTTGAATTATGGTCTGATAAAGCAGTACATGTCACGATGTGTTAATTTTGTGTTTCATTTTGAATTGTCACAGTCTATCGGTTTCCTGTTTTACTTTGATAGGTGTTCACCCCATGTCTATATTTTCTTCCTGTGTCTGTGTTTTCCCTCCTGTCTGATTGGCTGATTGTGTTCACCTGGGTTTCACCTCCCCTCTCCAGCTGTGTCTTGTCTTGTGATTACCCTTTTGTTCCTTGTCAGTCCGTCGTCGGTTTCCCCCGTGGTTTGGTTCTTGAGCTTGTGTGTTGGATGTTCCTGTTCTGCCCTCCTGTGACTCCTGAGTGTTCCTGTTTTGTTTGCTACTTCTTGTTTAACCTTGCCTGCCCCTGCGGTTTTGTATTTTGTAAGTACAGCTTTCATTTTAATAAAGCTCGCTTTTGGTCCTATTCTTATACCCAGTTCTTGTACTGCATGTGGGTCCGCATTCTTGCCAAAACCCTGACAGTACATTAATTAAAGAGTTCTGAGAGAGTAGGCAACCTTTTGAAAATGAAATACTTTTTTCACTAGTTTTTATGTCCCCGTCTTGTTCTTCCATTCTTCAATATGCCCTTTTTCATCGTGTTTATTGGATTATTGTGACCTGATCTCTGACCCACTGGGAGACTACAGGGGTAAAGTTAACAACTGCTGGCAGATCTAAGCCTGTAGAAACCGCAGCCTGGTTAGCTTGTAATGGATATATGGAGGTGTAACAGAAGATGATCTGCTTTTTTTACTGATAAATCTCATGGAAGATTTGAATTCATATGGATTTTGCTTTTGCCATTCGCACCTTATTTGGACCATTCATTTAATTTAATTTCCATCTTTATTTCAAAAAGATAAAAAAATAAAAATAAATAACAAATGTGAAAAACAGAATACTGTATTGTTAGAATACAGTATTTATCAATATTCATATTAATATGTATATATTCAACAAAAAATAGTCATATTTATATATTCAACAAACATGTTCATATTAATATGTATATATATTCAACAAAAATGTTCATATTAAGAATAATAATATATCATATGTGTCCGAAAGGGAGCAGGAGGAAGCAAATGCTTATTAATTCCCACCCCTTATTTACTGCTGATCAATGATTATCCTTTAAAACCCTCCTATTGTCTTAGTTTCCCGCCCCTTACTTTGTTGTTCACGGTCAAATTTGACCGGTCCTGTTTTAACTGCTATTACATTAACACAAAAAACATTAATCATCACCACATTTCATTTAACACCCTTTCAAACTGTAAATATTGTATATTGTATCAGACTACTGGTATACATGAACAACTGCAGTAAATATACAAAGAACAGACACTGAACATGTATTGCGTGTGCCAGGTGTGATCCATGTGGGGGGATGGGCACATAAGAGCGGGAAATGTGTCTAATTGTTCTGTGTGTTTGTGTGTGCCAGGTGTGATTCACATGGGGGGATTGGGCACATAAGTGGGGGGAACACATTTAGAGTGGGTGTGTGGGTGTTTGTGTGTGTGTTTTATCTGATCCGGATGGTTACTAATTCCCTTTCTTTATGGCGGTCATTTTGACCTTCAGTGTGTGTGACTTCAAGAATAGTGAATTAGTGTGTTCAAGATATCCAACATTATTGATTATTCTTATAGCCCTTTTTTGTAATGTGCATAACAGCTGTAGGTTGGTTTTGTAAGTGTTTCCCCAAATCTCCACAGAGTAAATCAGATATGGCAATATGAGTGTATTATCAATGAGTTGTAATCCAGAATGTGTCTGTCTGATTTACTCTGTGGAGATTTGGGGAAACACTTACAAAACCAACCTACNTGTGTGCCTTGGCAGTTCCCTATGCCAACCTTCAATTTTGAAAATTCCCAGTTTATTCCCATAAATTCCCGTTAATTCCCGTGGAAAGTTTCCGTCTTTGAAAATTCCCGGAATTACCTAGAAACCCTAGTCACCAGTCTGTCAGGGAGGATGGTATTAAATGCAGAGCTGAAGTCCACGAAGAGCATCCGTGCGTAGCTCCCCCTACTCTCCAGGTGAAACAAGGTAGAGTTGAGAGCTGTGGCGATGGCGTCCTCCACCTGTTGGCCCTGTAGGCGAACTGGTGGGGGTCCAGACCGGGAAGGAGGGATGAGACGATGTGGGGACGGACTACTTTCTCAAAAACTTTAGCGGGGGTGGAGGTGAGTGCCACTGGACGGTAGTCATTAAGGCAGCCGATGTTGGGGATGATTGTGGATCTTTTCAGGCAGGATGGGGCGATGGCCTGGGACAGGGACTGGTTGAAGATATTGGTGAAGATCCCCGCCAGCTGGTCAGCGCAGTCTCTCAGCACCCGTCCCAAGACTCCGTCCGGTCCGGCTGTTGAGGGGGGTCTAAAAGCAGATGCCTTCCCCCTTCAAGATCTTCTTAACACCTGTGTGCACCTTGCGTTGTTGCTCCACCCTCAGGGAGTTGTCGTGGTCAAAATAAATCCTGCTGTCTCAGAGTTTGATTGTTTTCTTCTCCCACGCCTTTTTGAAAAACATGTAGTCTGCTAGAATCCTACATGTTTGTGTTCCCTCTGCAGGGCCCCTGCCTCACCCTGCTGTGTGTCCTGCACTGTGCTGCTCATCTCCTGCCTCTGCCTGAACTAACAGAGACCCGTCTTCTCAACCAAACCATTAAAGTGTTTACTAAGGTGAGTATTTCCATAGTTCCTTAATTGAATTCATGAAGTTGTGTTTGGGATGCAAGAAATTTCTTTTTCTTTTCTCCCCAGATTGACCCTGCCTCAGAGAAGGACACGTCTTTATACACAACACTTAAAGGAATCCTGACTCCCATTCTTCACGAGCTGTGTGACAAAGCTGCAGAGGAGAGTGAACACTCCTAATCCAGCCTCAACCACCATCACTATTGT